AAAAAAAAAAAAAAAAAGAAAAAGAAAAGAAAAGGGAGAAGTCGGATGCTTTCCCTTACTTGGAATGAATAAGCTTATATTTAAGAAAAGCCAATATTCAGTTGAATATTGTCAGCTCTTCTGTATATTTTAAATAAGGGAATATATGAAAATACTCATATTTGAATACATAAGAACAAAGGTCTTTCAACATAGATTAAGTAGCCATAAATACAGAATCATCTACTTGAAGTAGCAGCAATTCAAATACCACAAGTGATACTGCCCTTGGTAACCTATTTTAAATTTCTTACCATTCCTAGTAACTCTGCAGACTAAAAATTCAGCATATGTGAAAACTATTACAAAATAAAAAGGTCTTTCACTGGTGGGATATTTGAAAGCCACACAGAACACAAGGCAACTCTTCTGGAGTTCCCCTTACACAACAAGCACCTAGCCCCTCAGTCTCAGCCCATTCAAGGTCAGTTGGATCCCCAATTATTGCAACACCCAATAAAGACAAAAATATATAAACAAGAAACTCTAAAATTTTCCCTGGGGGATTGTTTCATGTCCCCACTAATTGAGAATCACCAATCTACTGTCTAATGATGTTTATGACAAAAACTAAACGTTGTGTTCGTTACATCCTGAAGGGAGAAAAAGGAAGTGTGAAATCTTTTAGAAAGAATAAAGAAAAGAGGAGAGTTTTTATGTGATCTTTTTGTAGTTAATTCATTGTGACTAAATGCTGCCATGAGAAGCTTAAGGCTAAATCAAGATTTTTATTATTTTCCTGCTACTTAATCGGTACTAGATTTCCTACTTGAATTTTGTTAAAACACTTACAAAAAGATAGAAGGTAATAATTAGGTTAATGAGAAAAAGTACCTTTAAAGAAAGAAATAGGGCTTGCCATGATGTGGTGATTAAGGCAACTGGAACTCACATTGCTTTCTACCCAGTGCAAATCCCAGAACTGGCAGCTTGAGAAATATGCAAGGTGCGCGTGTGTGCATGCCCAAAATAATGAAAGGAGGGAAAGATGGAGGATAAGGGATTATGGCATGACCATGTCCCATAGAATGTGCTTTCTCATTTGCACCTCCCTCTGGGGAGACACATGCACCCTCTGACAAATTAAAAAATAATAATAATAAAATTATACTTTTATAGTATTTCATTATAATCTAAAGTGACCAAAAAATGCTATATATCTATATTAATAATGTCTGTATTATTGATGTCCAGATATTAACATTTTCCCTGGCCAGATTATCAAATATTAGCTTTCACCATAAAACACCTAGACAGATGCTTAAAGTTGAAGACATCTTTATAAGCAATCTTTTTAGTAGAGAAAAAATTAAAAAACATAGCCTTTTGTATACCTGCTTTATGCATTTTATTCCCATTCAAGAAAGCAAAGTACAAGTGTTGAATGGTTTAACTGATATTCTACAAAATAAATATGTTTTAACATGTCCTTGGTAGCCTATCACATGGAAATATTTCCCTTCTCCAACAACCAGCTTCTCTGAGCTATTCATGAAACTGGATTATGGACAAACAGATCCAACCTCATCTGTGTCTTTACCTGAATTTCCTTCAGTAGGAAGACAAGAGTTAAAACTGTTTTCTGTTGAGTTAGCTCTGAGTCTATTCCTGATTTCACCTTTCTCATCAGGATAGCCCTAGGGAAATCATCTACTCCCTTTGTTCCATCTGGAATTAGTGACTCTAACAGTTCGGCTTTCTTGCCCAAGCATACTGGCAACCTAGCATCTTTTAACATACTATTTATAAATAGCAAATGTTATTTAGATGTGTGTTAATGTCCTTCTAGCTACTCTCAATCACTCTGTCATCTAGCACCTCCCCAAACACTTAGACCCATAAAATCAAGCTATCAATCTTCCATTTGTGTAGATATTTTCTCTATCTTCCTATGCTTGATTCTTTCAGAAATTAGGTCTCAGAGCCTGTGCCATGCAATTGCTATCTCCGAGGTTTCATTGTTTTATCTATTCGTATTACCAGTGCAACTGTTTAAAAAAACATTAGAATGTTATTTAGAAAAGAATCTTTCATTTTCTCCATATCTGAACTGATATGAGTGCCTACCCACAAATCAGTGAAGTTGAGGAAAATGTAATAAAAAATATATTATTTACATTCAATTCTATTTGCATATTTAAGAATTTTGTTTTGGTTTGGTTTTGGTTTTTGAGAGAAGGCATATGTGCTCACCAGAGAGAGACAGAGAGCGAGGGAGAAGAGAAAACACCCTCCCATGAGAAATGGTCAAGTTGTAATCCCTTCTCCTCCATTTCTCCTTTCTTTTGAGATTTTGGGCATGCAAACACACAAGCCACCAGGTCTGGAACATGAATTACACAGTTTGTCATATGAGATCCATCTGTTTAAATTACCAGGCCATGGGGCCAACCTAGAGCTTCTTTCTTTAAGAACAGGTTTAGTACATAAAATTATATTTATGACTCAGCCAGTGGTATGGTGGTTAAGACAGCTGGATCCCACATGGCCAACTGCATGGTTGAGTCCTGGACCCAGCAGCCTGAAGGGTGGGGCATGTGTGCTGAAATCTATTCAGAGAGAGAAATGGAGAAAGTATTGTGAGATTGTGGTGTGACCAACCACCACAGAGGGAGGTGTGAGGGTGTTTTTTCATTCTTCTCCTGCCTCCCTGTCTCTGTCTCTTTCTCTTTCTCTCTGGCAAGCATATGCACTCCCTGGCAAGTTTATTTTGTTTTATTTTATTTTATTTGACTTTCTCAAACTTGCATGTTATCAGGACCCAATGCTCAATAAATATTATCACAGATCACCACTCTAATCATAGTATAAAGCTCTACTTGAAAAATTATCTTTTAAGATAAGGGCAAACAGAAACAAAATCCATTAATACTTTAGGTTTTACCTTCTCATCATATCAGCCAAAGTAGTAATCTTTTAGTCATTGCATGCATGTGGCTACATGCGAGTTTTTAAAGAGTATTATACTTGAAGAATAATAGAACTACCTACTCTAAGCACTCACGACTATTTTGTCATTCATATCAAGCCAAGTGTGGAGTGAAAAACAGAGATCTGATTCTTCAGCAGAGAGAGGCAATGGGCAGAATACCCCTCAAGGCAGTGAGTAAGCTCTCTAACCCTGGTGATGCCCAAGTGAAGGCATGAGCCTCCTAGGGACAAAGAAGATGAAATTCCTACATTGACTGTGAGACTAGACTGGATGAAGTTAAAAATTCACATGCAACAGGACAGATGATATTATTTATTAACATGGGGTGGGGGGAGAGATTGGGTCCTGTAGAGAAAAAGCAGTCACATGGACCACTGTCTTTTCACTATCCAGCATGCATTCAAACTCATTTCCTCCAGCACAGCCACCCTTTCACAGCAATTCTCAGGACAATTTCTTCAAGTAAAACTAATTACTTTTAGGCTCCAGGATCAAAGTTTACTAAAAGCTTAGTAGCACATTCTATCTCCTGACCACACTGGAAATTTCAGGGTCAAACATCAGACCTATGAGGCAGGCCAGTAGAGACAAATAAGCTCAATTTGAAAATTCTCTCTGCAGCATCAAGGAAGTGCAGTGTCTTTTACACTGGATTGGGCATTATGCTGTGAACCTGAAACTCTGCAAGGCCAGCTGGCAGAGTCAGCAAATGAACCAATCAAGAGATACAGAAGAGTAGACTCTGAGTTTACCATTTGACTTCTGAACCAAGACATGCCTGTTTGAGTTATATAAGCCACTAAAGTCTTCTTTAAATTTTTGTTACAATCATTTCAAGTGGATCTTTTATAACCTGTCCCCATGCCCTACTATAAAAGAAAAAAAGAATTAAAAAGGAATATTAGAAGATCAAGAGGAGATTATAATTCTTCTCCCAACATCCCTTAGACATAATGTCAATAGCAGGTGCTCAATAAACAAATGAATGAACCAATGTTATAAGCAGAAGGAAAGGCCACAGAGAGGTCTGAATGAGGAAAGGGGTAAGAAGGAAATGGTTGGAGACAATATGTCAGTAAAAAGATTTGAGTAGGATGTCAGAAAAGATTTCTAGAAGCTATTATGAGTATGAAACTTCAGGGAGATAGAAGAGGTATAAACAGAACTGTTAGATAGTTTTCTTTATGGTAAGGTTCACATGTTTCACTATACAAAGAAAGTAAGTATAACCTATAAATTCATAGACAATTCTTCAAGGGTTTTGGTGTCATATTTTTGTCTTTGAACACAACTTTTTGCAGAGGTTAGCTTCAATATAAAGCATACTTGCCAGGTCTAATGAGGATTACCCATATGTATCTAAATTCTTTAAGTAGAAATCAAATTTAAATGTGTTGATAGGTGTATTTTGACCTTTCACCAAAAAAAGGAAGTAAACGTTTACCATCAAGGCACTCTTGATTAGAGAGTGAAGATCATTTGGGGTTGCCATTGCTTGGTGATTGAGGAGGCTAAATCTCACACATTTGACTGTGTGATTCAAGTCCCAGACCCAGTGGCCTGAAGAACATACTGTGAATGTTGGTGTGTGTACCCAAAATCCCAAAAAGAGGAAGAAAAGATTGTAGTATGGCCACCGCCCACAGGGATGCCTTCTCACTTTCCCTTTCTCTCTCTCTCCAGCAAAAAGTTTTAAAGAAAGTTAATATCATTTCACAAGATCATCTAAAATGCTTACCCAGTATAACTTTTTGTTACTTAATTTGATAAATTCAATGCAGATTTTGGCCCATTTAGGTTAATTTTTTGTAGTTTCCTCTTCTATATCAAATCAGTGGATTGGCTTCTTTTTTTTTTAGCGAAAACTAACGTTGGCAAGTAAAAAGAGAAAAAGTCTATTAAAGAATCAAGAAATTTGGGCTGGCCTCATAACATCGCAACTAAGCACTGTGTATAGCGAACCTGATCCCACATGGCTGACCCTTGTTCAAATAATTGAGATTCTGGCAGCTTAACAGGAGAGGTTTTTTGCTACAGGGTGTGTGCGCTCGCCAGAGAGACAGAGAAACAGAAAGGGAGAAATCACCCCCCGTGGGGGTGGATGGCCACTTCGCCATCCCTTCTCCTCCACTCTTCTCTCGGGATCTTGGGCATGCACGCACACACACCCAGCATGAGTTTAAGCCACTGGGTCCAGGTCTTGAACTGCAGTTACTACATGAGAGTTCAGTGACATAACCATTATGCTAACTGCTGGTTCCACAACTTAAGTATTTTATAGGCTGTCATTATAGCTTTTGTTTCATCGAACTACAATTCTTTCTTTTCCTGAAGAAATCAAGGAGTATTTTTAGATAGTTAAACAAAGACCAATTTATGTTGAGATGCTAACCTGAGCATCCTTTACTTCAATTCTGTGAGTCATCATCATTAAATCTGTGGATCAAAGGATTTTAGCACAATGATGAAAAATGAAAGCAAATGCGAAGAACTCTTCATGACATTAAGGATAACAACAGTAACATTCTACGTGCCCTTGAGTGCCTTATTTACCTTCTTTATGTCTTAGTAAATAATATAAGGTGAAGGACCTCTTTAGGGCTATTAAAGACCTACCCTATTATTGTAATATTAAGAATGCATACTTAAAACATACTGAAGGAAGAGAACATAAGATGACTAGTGAAAACAGGAATTGATATACTTATTTCTCTTTCAGCAAATAATAATTTATAAATATTTTAGAATAAAAGAATTTGTGTTGTTTTGTTTGTTTGGTTTTACCACAGGGCATGTGTGCTCACTGGAGAAAGATAAAGAGAGGGGAAGTGAGACATAACTCCCCAGGAGGGATGGCCATGCCACAATTCCTTCTCCTTCATTCTCCTCTCAGAATTTTGGACACATACACAAACACACACCAAGTATGATTTTCAAGCCTCCAGGTCCGGGAGTTGAGCCATGGTCAGCTACGTGGGAGTCCAGGGCCTTAACCACCACACCACTTGGCCCTAGCAACATTTTTTGAGACAACATAACCCCAGGGGCTATATCAAAATTGGGAAGACAAGAATAGATTGAAAATAAAATAACTACCCCTTGTTTACACAGATATTTTTGGTCCAAAATATTTGGGTTTTTATTACAAAAAGTATTAAAGAGAATTTTTAAATTATTAATGGTGGCATGGGACTTTTTGTTTTAATTAGGAAACACAATTCAATAGATTTAAGGAGAAAACGAAATCTTAAAATTCAGAAGGCACAATTACCTATGGAGAGGGATGTAGGGGGAAATACTACATTTAACAGACATTCTAGCATGTTTTCTGTCTTGAGTAGGACTCATTTACTTTAACAATGAAGTGAGATTTGGATCTACTGTGACAGAACTTCTCAGTCTTTACCAAATCTTAGCCCACATAGAAAACTATGTTTGCACCATGTTCTGGGATAATGGATAGAATGTTCCTAACTGAAGTGACAAGCCAAGGATTCTGGGACACCCCTAGGCACAACCCAGATGCTCAAGTGGCTGAGGAGATCCATGTCTCCACTCACCTGTGTCCACTGCAACACAATCTGTGGGGAAACTTTGCTCTCCTAAATGAGAGAGCATACAAATCTTCCACCACTTCTGGACAAGAGCTCAAAGTGTACCCATTCACATAATAGTTATGTTATAGCAACATTAAATATTCTATGCAAGCTATTTTGGAGGCAAAAGAGACAATAAGCTCAGACTCGCAGACAAAAAACAAAGGTTGTCACCTTTGTTTTGTAACCATATCAAAAAGGAAGATACCACTTAAATTCTAACTAAAGTCAAAATCCATTATTATGGGCTAATATCTAACATATTTAAAATTTAACTATCTTATATTTGGACAATTAACCAAAAGCAATCTCTAGCTGTAAAACAGATGCTTACTCTTTGCAATTTCTATTTTTAGCTAGCCGTTCAAACTAATGTAATTATTAGCTAATATATCAACATTTTAAAAATCATGCTTTCATGTAGCATCCAAGAATTAAGAAGTGTTAATATGAAAAATGCCAAGCAGGGTATAATCATCATAAATAAAATGACTAAACAATAAATCACCAAGTAATCATACTATAGTTTCAGATGTGCGGAAGTAAGTATGGCTAGAGTGAAAGGAGATGACTGAGGGAGCAGGGATAATGTCACCCAGTATCTTAGTCAGCTTGGGCTGCTATAACAAAATGCCATAGACTGGTTAGCTTCTAAAAATGACATTTATTTCTCTAAGTTCTAGAAGCTAGGAAGTCTAAGACCAAGGTGCCTTCAGATTCACTTTTAGGTTAGGACTCCCTGGCTTGCAGGTGCCTTATCACTATGTTCTCACAATAGAGGAAGCTCTAGTATCTCTTCCTCTTCTTTATTCAGGCACTAATCCATCATGGAGGCTCTTCCCTAATGATTGTTCTAAACCTAATTACTCCCAAAGGCCCTGCCTCCCATTATCATAACATTGAGAGTTAGTGTTTCAACATATGAATTCAGAAGAACACACACATTTGATTCAAAACATACACACAACGCTTCATATTGGCCATCACATCTGTGCATTGGGGCATTTTTAGAATAAACCTGAGGAAGTTAATGTTTCTTTTCTTTTCTTTCTTTTTTTTTTGGAAAGGTTTTTGCTATAGGGCGCATGTGCTCTCCACTCGCCAGAAAGACAGACAGAAAGTGAGAAATCACCCCCCTCCCCGGGGGGCATGGCCATGCCACAATCCCTACTCCTCCATTCTCCTCTTGGGTTCTTGGGCACGCACACACACACACCCGGTGTGAGTTTAAGCCACTAGGTCCAGGACTCAAACCACAGTCGACTACATGGGAGTTCAGTGACATAGCCATTACACCAACTGCTGGTTCTGGAAGTTAATGTTTCTAATATAGCAGACCTGGAGCTCTTCCATCCAAGGCTATGAGCATTAGATGTAGGGGGCTACTGAGCACTTGACATGTGACTAGACCAAATTGAGATGAACTACATGTGTAAAAGCATACTGTATTTTAGGGACTTATTGCCAAAAAATGTAAAGTAGCTTATTAATAGTGTTTATATTTATTTTATATTAAAATACTTTAAACATTTTAAGTTAAGAAAAATGTATTACTAAAATTAATTTTACCTGTTTACTTTCTAAAGTGTCTGCTACAAGATGACATAAGCCACTTATGTAGCTCACATTGTATTTTTATTGGACAGTGCTAGCCTAGAACATAAACAATGTAGGGGAGAAGAAGATGAACACACACTTGAAAGAGATATATTCTGGAAATAAATCAGGAAAGGGACATTTCATTACATACACCTAAAATGTTTATTAATTCCTCAATATGAAGAAATTGTAAATTAAGACATTTTTCTGAATAGTTGGTCTAAACAACTATTGAGTCATCAGTAGTCCTCGCTACTCCAAGGAGCCTAAATCGCAATTGCAAAAAGACTCTGGTGAAGAAAATGTGCCACAGCACATCTATATGTTTCATGTAGAATTGCCAAGAAATAGAAGGTACTTCAAAAGTTCAACTACTTCAACTCTTTGTTTTCAGGGCAAGTGAATAATTCATTATTTGAGACAGGTAAGCTAAATCTCCTATTGTAAAGATCTCCAATTTTTTTCTTTCTACTAGAGGATGTGTGCATGTACACAAGAAAGAAAACACATTTTCTCACTACACACACACACACACACACACACA